AGGATCTTTCAATGTCGGTAAAGTACCTTGCTCCTATCAGAAAATTATGTCCAGTGATTGGATGGATGTCTGTCCCACACAGAACTAGGCCGCCCTGCACCTTCTTCAGTGATGTAGGTGTGTTTTCGGGGGTTATTGAATATTTTTGAAGAGGCCCTGCTTTTCCAAATTGCGATTGACATTTTGGTAAGTGTGTCATCAATAACTGTAGTCGGCTGGATTGGATCATTCCCGGAGGGCTGAACGGTAAGAAGGGGGTGGGGGAAGCCCTATCGTGCAGGGGCATCACAAGGTGGGGATGAATGTCTCAAAGAGGGTAGGGTCGGAGTAGGGGGTTGCCCTATTCTGGGGCAGGGGCTGGTGTGTGGGTCGGCAGAAACGGGCAAGGGGCGGGTGTGCATGAGGTGGGAACTGCCTGCTCCTACGGAAGGTCGTAGGAATAGGTGCTATCTGGCAAGTCACCTGTGATCCTGTGAAGGGTGGTCGAAAATTTGGTGGCCCTCAAAGACCAACGCTGGAGCTACGCTGGCCGGAGCCGAAGCCAGGTGGCGCAACTCTGTGACCTAGCTTAATGGGGGCGTGAGGCCTGGGAGAGAGATCTGGGGGGCTGTTTGAGGGGGCAGTCTCAGTGGTCATCGGGGCTCGTAACTGGAGCAACGATGTCTGGTGCTGGAGCAAGGTGGTGCAACTCTGTATCCTAGCCTGATGAGAGGACGGGGCCTAGAAGAGCTGCGGTTTCGTGCTGAAAACAGCCATGCTGGGGGCGGTCGTAGATGGATTGAATAGGTTTCACCCATCTGATTCGTGGTTGGGAGGCTTTTTGATGCACATATTCTAGCGACTTGGTAGAGTTCAGTGTTTTTTATTTTTCCCTTTTCCTCGATTGTTCTTAGCCGAAGCCGGGTAATAGCCCCGGTATCTGATTTTTGTATTCTGATAAGGGACGCTGGGCCCAGTTCCCAGCCGTGTTGCTCCCCACGAATAGATTGGAGCATTAACAAAGAAAACACAAAAAAACAAGGCTGCCCTTTGACCAAGATCGAAGCATAGGAAACTAGGATGACACTGCTGTGCAAGATAAACTTGATCCTAAGTTATTATCATGATGGGGATGGAGGGCTAAAAGTCCACCACTTCGTCTTTGCAACTCTTTTTGATCCATCTCAATCAAACGAGATTGAGATTGAACTGGCGCCGCTGCCACTTCGTGGCCTTGGACATGTACGAGTCGTGCAAAACCTAACTGTCTCGATATTTCTCATTGTGAAAACCAAGCCAAGTTTGATTCTCAGGGAAGTGCTTACGCCTGGTTCTTTGTCAACCCCAGGTAGGGCATCTGTGAAAGACCCATGCAGGAAGTCATTGAAATATCCAAAAATCATCGCGAAAGATTGCAAAGCATTTTCCCACCCTGAAATCAGCGGAACCAAACAACCGATGAGTCAGTGTACAGCAGAACGTGCTGGATTCACGTCATACAGATTGGTCCAACATCAAAACTGGAACATAAATGGGCAAATGCTGGTGGCAACTCAAAAGTAACTGCAAATCAAGAACATAAATGGGCAAATGCTGGCGGCGACTCCAAACAACTAGTTCAAATCAAAGGTATGCAGCACTCTCCTCCAGATTGACTATATAGGACGTAATGTGGCTACTCCCTCCAACACTTGACAAGGTGTTCAATGCACGTTCTTGCGTCAACATTCGAATCAGGTCATACAGATTGACCCAACATCCATGGCAACAGCCTTGGGAAAATGGTGGCAGCAACAAATTCCTACTTGCAAATCAATGGCATGCATCTTATCTATGGCTCCACCCACCTCTGCAGTATAGCTAACTCAGAGGGGAGTAGAGATTGATACGACTTCTTGTCAATATCAATGGGCTCTTGAATCCCCTACTCCTGCGGTGAGATTGCCCAGCCTCCCACTGGAATTGGCAACGTGGTCCCAACTTGGGAACAACATTCTAATCATTCAATTCCCTGGAATTGCAACTAGGTTGTGTTGGGTGGAGTTCCTGAAGCCTCGTCATCATCAGAGGGCTGGGGTTACGGCTCAAACAGAGAGTAGTTGGCCGCGCAGTGATCTGGCAGGAAAGAAACAACCAAGAGTTTTCAAGAAAAACGGAGTGTGTGACAACCAAGGAAATCCATGGACCTTTCATTTACACTGGCTAAGGCCATCCAGGTGGACTGGCAGCGGAAGGTGACCACACGGGTGAAACATGACTTGAAAAGTCGGGTTCAGGGACACATTGTGCCCAAATAAGGCACTACCGGTAGTATTTTTCACCACAGAAGTTAGATTGCAATTGCAGATGCATTTGCAGATTAGACAGATAGTAACCAGGTCCACTTCCACAAAGGAAATGACAAAGACATCAATAAACTGTCATAAGCTCCCACATTGTAGCCAAGCCCTTAATATACAACAAAGTACCTAAAAACTCAGTACTGGCTCTGCAAAAGCTTCCGAAATCCACAGCCAAGCCCTTAATATACAACAAGGTACCTAAAAACTCACTACTGGCTCTGCAAAAGCTTCCGAAATCCACAGCTTTCACATTTGAGCACTTGCAAAGACGGGCGCCGCTCAACATTTGGCGGCGGACATTTCTTTGCACTCCACCATCTAACACCAGTCCTTTCCTAAACGTATCTGACTGCAATTCCGGCATTTGACCTGGCTGAATCTATATACGTGCAATGACATTTGGAGTTTTCTAGACAATTCATAGTGTGAGTATTCATGCCCTCACTAGGATTTTCTGGCAGCTCCTCGTTCAGATCTGTAACTGTTTGCCCATGGGATAAATCTGACCCCACACATAATTGGCTCACGTGTCCCTCCCTGCCACGAAAGGTTCGCAATCGCTCGTCTCATGTACAGCCAGTCCCCGCCTGTGCTATGTCTGTGCTTGGTACCTTTCTTTTTCATTTCCTACCATCACTCACCTAATCTCGAAAGGAGATATCAGTGCGGATATCAAATCGAATCTTCGGAGGGTACCACTACAAGTGCAGCTCCAGGGCTCCCTTACTCCTGATACGTGCCAGGGTTTCCTTCGCAACTTCACTCTTCTCCACAGCCGGATTTGATATTCACACTGATATATATCTTCCATTGACTACTCCATCAAAGGTTTCAACTTCAACGGAGATTCCAGTTCGCATATCAAATCCCTCGTAGGGAAGAGGGAGGCAGCATTGCGAGGGAAAACCTCGGAGACATCACAAGACAGCCCGTGACCTGCTGCTGCTGTGCTACAGGCCACTCCCTGCCAATTCAACAATCACGTCCGATTTACGTACATCCAGGTCAAGGTATAATTCGAGCTTATCCTACGATGGATTTTCTATTCACAACCTCATTTATCTTGTTTCAAATGAAAGACCCCTTCTTTTCCACTAACCATCTACCGCCAGATCTTGGATATCTTAGCATGAATACTGAATTCATCTTCAGTCTATGAGGGAAAGCCGCCTGGACAAACCCTCTGCAATATCAGAGAGCCCTTGCGAGGTGCTATGGTGCACGGCCCACTCGTTGCCAATTAACCATCCACAACCCCATTCTTGCTGCACCTTACCGTAAAGATACCTTTTATGCATTCGTTATTCGTTATCAGGTAGTGGACTAGCTATAAGGAGGGAGGAATTGGAAGTCGTGTTCTTGAAGCAAGGCTTTGGAAGTCGTGTTCTCGAAGCGAAGCATGACGGGAAGCCTCATCCATAAGAGAGCTTCGCTCCGCCACCGCCAGTTAGAAACAGAACTTGCGATTCAAGTTTCGACCATATCTTTCCAGCTGCTAGCTGAAGAATACCCTCGAACCCTCACAGTCGCGCTAGATGGCACGATCTGTCGTTTTCGGGACAGTTGCATCATGTAGCCTATTATGGCCTTTCACACAACAATTTTGTGGTGGCAGCGGTCTTTCGCTCGTCACATCATGCCATTCGGTTCTTTTCTACGATCGATTCATGCACGCGATCAAATACGTTTTGATTCTATTAAGAAGATCATGAAGACTGGTACTTGAGAACCAGACTTAGTGCCTCGCACCGCCACTCACCACAGGCACGAAGGCAAACAGCTTCGCTCCACCGCTGTCCACGTGAACAAAAGACAAAAAATGGTATAGTTCCATGCTCTAGCAAAAGGTTCATTCTCATTTTGAACGTTTGGTGAGTGGTAGAACGAGACCCAAGAATCATAGCTGCACATGTCCTTCAGCGGAAAGTTCATTCTCAATTTTTTTTAACACGGATTGCTGCGCCCTATCGTGGCCACAATGCCCTGCAATGGGGACTTGCAGTTCTCACCAAGTGTGCAAGATGGGGGATGTACCTTCAGCTGGACTGGAGCGTGGAAAGGTATTGTTTTGTTGTGGCGGCTGCGTTGACTCTTTTGGGTAAGTTGCATTCTTAGCTCAGCTGGATAGAGCACCAACCTTCTAAGTTGAAGGTCACAGGTTCAAATCCTGTAGGATGCTGAATTCTTCGGGAGAGTGGCCGAGTGGTTAAGCCCTCCATACATACATAGGTAGTCTTTTTCACTTTTAGTCAGTGATGCTGTGTCATAGCTTGCCTTTTTTATCCAATTGACGGGTGGGAGGTGCAACAAGATGCATAGCCAGATGTGCGTGCCCATACGAGAAGCATTCCCTGATTCAATTCAAAGCAGCACTCATCCTCTCTGCCGCTACTGGTACCCCCTCCAAATCCTTCTGTCGGTTCTGACGTCTTTGCCGCCTCTCATTGCCACCACTCGAAGCCCAGCTTCCCTGCTGCCCCTTTCACACCGAGTCTTGCCTTTCATATCGATTCTTCCTTCCTGCTTTCACACTACATTCCCCCCCCCCCCCCCCCCCCCCCCCCCCCCCCCCGATACACACAAACCCACCCACAAGTACATTATACATGAAGGTAAACCATGACTGTATGAAAGCCCCGAAATGGGAGAGGCAGGATTCGTCGAACCTGAGTAGAAATATGACCTTCAACAGATTTACTTACAGTCTGTGGAAATCCATAGTGAAAGATTGCAGAGCATTTTTTCGCATGTGAAAACAGCACAGAAGCATTACGAATCTCTTTAACAAATACGGTACGTAAAACCAACCACACAGAGCCTGAGGAATGGGTCTTCGAAGAAAAGCAATTCGGATGCACAGAATTACAAGGAACGTGAAAATTGTTTGTACAGACAGGAACCATCGACGCACGTGTTCAGTCAGCCATGGGGACCCACCTCATGACACACTACCCGTGTGGCATCGGGAGCTTTGACACAGCTGGATGACACTCCTCCCCATTCTTCCTCCCTTCCACAACACCTTTCTCCCCTGTCAAGAGATTACGACCCGTAATTGACTGAGTTCACCACGGCGTTACGGCAGCAGCTAAACTGGCTGTGTGATTGTGATTGTGTGATTGTGTGGGTACACCTCTTCGTCAAGAACCGAGGCACATCACTACACGAAATAAAGAATCATCTCAGGACTTCCTAAAAAAAAAATCTCGTAAAGTCGCAAAAGGAAAACGCAGTTCACACCTTACCCTTCTCCCTCCCCCCCCTCCTCTCCACTCTCTCCACCTTTCAACCCACAACCCTTCCCTCTCGAATCAACGAAAGAACAAACGGCAACCAGACGATCATCACCAGAAACACAGTTCAGGAGAGGAGGAAAAAAGACGGTATGGTATATACCGCGGCAGGTGGGAAGGCAGGCTTGATAGGCGACTAACTAGTTCGGTACAAAAGTCCTCTACTCTACTGCGCCGAAACGCTGTCCATCATACGCACCTCTCTTCCCCCTCCTCCCCTCCCATACCTGTTCCAGGAGACCAGTCGAACAGCGAACTACAACTCCTCGTGAGCTTCCTCGTCGTCTGCAGCTGTTTCCGACGTAGGCCCAGCCTGCCCAGCAGCCTGGTACACTTTAGAGATGATAGGATTGCACACACCCTCCACTTCCTTGAGCTTCTCGTCGTAGTCCTCCTTATCCGCACTCTGGTTGTCATCCAACCACTCCAGAGTCTCCTTCAGCGTCGACTCCACCTTCTCCTTGTCCTCCTCCGCGATCTTGTCGGCCAGCTTGTCCTTGTCATTGATCGTGTTCTTCATGTTGTACACGTACGTCTCCAACGAGTTTCGCGCGTCGATCCTCTCCTTCACCTTCTTATCCTCCTCCGCGAACTCCTCGGCCTCCTTCACCATTCTGTCGATGTCGTCCTGACTCAGACGACCTTTGTCATTCGTAATCGTGATCTGCTCATGCTTGCCAGTGCCTTTATCTTCCGCCTTCACGTTCAGAATTCCGTTGGCGTCAATCTCGAAGGTAACCTCGATCTGAGGCACACCGCGAGGAGCCGGCGGGATCCCAGTGAGATCAAACTTGCCAAGCTCGTGGCAATCCTTAGTCATACTTCTCTCGCCCTCAAATACCTGAATGGACACAGTCGTCTGCTGATCCTGATAAGTCGTGAAGATCTGGGATTTCTTCGTTGGAATAACGGTGTTCCGTGGGATGAGCTTGGTCATGACTCCACCGACGGTCTCGATGCCAAGAGTAAGAGGGGTGACGTCGAGGAGGAGAATGTCCTTGGTCTGTTCCCCTCCCTCTCCGCTCAAGATACCTCCCTGGACGGCTGCCCCGTACGCCACTGCCTCGTCCGGGTTCACGCCCTTGTTCGGTTCCTTGCCATCGAAAAAGTCTTTGATCAGTTGCTGAACCTTGGGGATTCTGGTGCTCCCTCCAACCAGAACGATCTCGTGGATGTCAGTCTTCTTCAGATTAGCGTCCTCTAGTGCCTTCTTCACGGGACCCATCGTCTTACGGAACAAGTCCATGTTCATCTCCTCGAAACGCGCGCGAGTCAAAGGCTCGGAGAAGTCGGTCCCGTCGAACAAGCTTTCGACTTCGACGCGCACCTGGTGCTGATTGCTCAACGCCCGCTTGGCACGCTCAGCTTCTCTCCTCAGCTTCCCCAGAGCCCTGTTGTCCTTGCTAATATCCTTCTGGTACTTCTTCTTGATGAGCTTGATGAAGTACTCCATGATCCTCTGGTCAAAGTCCTCACCTGCATCATAAGGTGTAAAAAAGAAACAAAAGTGTTCAAAACCAAAATTGAAATCACAGTCAGAGTAAAAAAATCATTATAAAAAATAATAATAATATTAAAAACACAAACACAGTCAGATCCCTCTCGTCCACTTGTTAGCAGAAAATATATACCCAGCGTGAAGAAAAAGGAAATGCAAAAAAAACACGCCCTTCTTCAGATTATTCTTGCTTATTTCCTTGCCCGCCCCCTTTTCAACTCTCGCTCAACTCGTCATCGTCTAGTCTCTTTATCGTCGTTTCATGAGCTGACGACCGACTAAAGAAAGCACGAAGGGGAAAACACACCTTTCTACAAATTTTACTTGCTTTTCCTTGGCCTTCTACTGATTTTTCTTGCTTATTTCCTTGGCCTTCTTCAGATCTTTCTTGCTCATTTCCTTGGCCGCCTCCTTTTCAACTCTCGCTCATCTTGTCATCTAGTCTCTTTATCCTCGTTTCATGAGCTGACGACTGACTAAAGAAAGCACGAACATGACCTAATACATTGACTAGATACCGACGAAAAGCCCAGCAGTCCGCGACGCGAAACGGAAGAGAACTGAACTGTCATGATACTAGTAATAATCTCGATCCAACTCAGTGAACAAATAAAACCCTATCGAAAGGCGAGGAAACATCTGTAATACATCGTGCAGAAACAGTTTACTACCGAGGAGAGCAGGTTAACGAAAAGGCCCAAAATTTCAGACAAAGGTCAATTTAACCAAACGTACAGCCAATTCATAGAGTGAGACCATACTAATTCAGTTGCCAAATAAATATACACATAATTAAAAATATATATAATTAATATATATATATATATAGTTAAAATATATATATAAAATTAAAATATATATATATAACTAAAATATATATATATAATTAAAATATATATATAATTAAAATATATATATATAATTCAAATATATATATATATCATACAATGCTTGCGAAATGGCAGAGAGAGAATAAGTACCTCCAAGATGAGTATCTCCGCTGGTGGAGAGCACCTCAAACACTCCTGCGTCAATGGTCAGAATGGAAACATCGAAGGTACCGCCCCCAAGATCAAAGACCAGGATGTTCTTTTCCCCTCCCTTCTTGTCCAGTCCATACGCGATGGCCGCAGCGGTAGGTTCATTGATAATACGAGCGACATTCAATCCGGCGATAACCCCGGCATCCTTCGTTGCCTGTCGTTGAGCGTCGTTGAAGTACGCTGTCACCAAAGACAGACCAAGAAGAGTCACACGCCATAGGACCGTCAAAACTTCCCGCAGCAGCAAAAATTACGTACGAGCCCCTTATAGGGCTGAAGAGATGCATACCCACCCATAGACCTTCCGACAGCGAGAGGAGCTCATTCTTCAAAATAACTGCCCCGTCCACTCACACGAAGGGCAAGCAAGCATTCTAACGATCATCCCCCGAACATAAACGCATGCGTTGTATTCGAATTTTCGGGGGGGGGGGGGGGGGGGAATACGATAATTCGAATAGAACACATGTTCTTTGTGTTCGGGTTCAAGGGCTATTCGAATAGAACGCATATGCATTATATTCGAGTATATAGGAACTGCCTTGTATTTATTTACAACGCATACGCGCAACGTTCGGGTGGAAAACGGGTAGATGTACACGCATACGGCCTACAAACATCCCTCATCTACCCCTGTCACCAACTCCGCACTAATCCACCCACCTTTACCCTTGACTGCCAACCCCACTCACAAGCATAGGAAAAAAAGAACAAGGACATAAATATTTAAATGTACGTACTCTTCTCCTCCACCCCGGGCTAACTAATATACATCGTCTACCCCCGCTCAACCAAATGCCCGCTCACCCACCTTTTTCTTTCCCCATCAGTGCTTTCCAAAACACCACCTTCACAGTCATCATCATCATCATCATCATCAATTTAATGGCTAAACACGTGCGTTATTGCTAAACAAGTACGTTAATTCAAATTGACTCAGGTACCCCCACCCACACCCACATTCACACAAAGAATGAATGGCAACTCCATACTCCCGCAAGAATCAGGGTTCCAGGTCACAGTCCTAGGTCGCGAGTTCATGTACCTTCAAAAACAGAATCTCAAGATACCACACCCGTAAACTAACTTCATTCTCTATATTGAAGGGGGAGGGGAGGGGAGGGGGGAGGGAAGGGGAGGGGGAGGGGGGGGAACCGTATGCTATGACGATGGACATGCAAGAAAAAGATGATCTCTCATGTCCGCCAATCGCGGGAAGAAAAATTGGAATACGAATTTCCCACTGACCGTTCGGCAATATTCGAGAAGATATCACACCAACAGTCCAGCCGCAGACCAGCCGCAGACGTTTTCAAGTTATAACTCTCATGTGCTCAAACCACCATGTGCTTCAAGCGGCGCAACCGACTCGACTATAATTGCAGTATATTACACCGCCTCATTCTCAACACATTTCTAAGTACATATATACAGCACATAAAACACCTACCTAACTCAATGCCAACACAAGAGCACTCAATCCGAAGCAAATAAACAAAGGCACTTTTGTGCTTACCTGGTACGGTGACGACGGCGTCTTTAATCTTTTTCCCGAGATAGGCTTCGGCCGTCTCCTTCATCTTCGTCAGAATCATGGCGCTAACCTCCTCGGGGGTAAAAGCCTTCGCCTCACCCTTAACCTCGACCTGAATGTAGGGTTTGCCCCCTTTATTAATTATCTTGTACGGCATCAGCTTCATGTCTCGCTGAACTTCCTTATCCTCGAACCTGATTCCATTATCAATTTGCCGACAAAACACAGTTAAGCTTTACGACTCTTCCACCTTCCCAATCCCCTCTGCATACTCAAACTCCCATCCCAATCCACCATGACGTCGACGCGAAGACTGTGACAATTGACAGTCCAAAAGCCCAAGCCCGAGCCAGAGCCCATGCCCAAGCACGAGCAAGTAGGTCACACGCCCAGTAGGGAGACAAGGGGAAGGTGACAAGTCACTCGCAATTTCAATAAGAGAAGATACAATAGAGATTGACGACTGGACTGAGAGATGCCCCATCAGACCAGAGAGGATGGTAATACGGAGAAAAGATACAAAATCGCAATGTTCAGGCGGTTTTAGGGCAGGCGAGTACAGACAACGCGACGTGAACTGAACAAGCTACCCGTCTTCACCCGAATAGAACACCCGGTCATTCTCGCTGCATCTGGACTGAAAAATGCCCCGAATGGCAAACACAGCTTCAACGAGGGCGTTATATTCGAGTGAAAACGGTAGGCTTTACACCTCGCCACAGGTGACTGCACAACAACCCTACACTAGTCTTTACAAGTTTCAGACCCCCATTCGCTGACCTCTCAATCTCAATTTCGGCAAAACGCTCTTGCTATGAGGGCTCCAGCGATCGTAAGAACTCGGATCAGAGGGCGGTCATAACATAATACCAGAATCCGCAAGTACTACCGTGTTCACTCCAATAAAACGCCCAGTCTTAGCTGTATCTGGACTAAATTGCACCAAATACTACAAATGATAGGACGTTCTAATCGGGTGAAGAAGACTGTAGAGTACCAATTGCTGACGGGCACGAAACACTAATGGCTGAGAGAACAACCGCCAACACACTTTAATCTGTTCCCCGAACGGTTAAACGAACGAATTCCACTGTCTGCCTCACAAGTACACTTGCTCGAGACCCCTTCAACAGAGTGAGCCCCCAAAGCAGGACAACGCAACTCGATACAAGAAACCCGAATGCAATAATGCAATATACCCCAGAACGAGTCCATACAATGTATATACGACTACCACAACACAATGCTCCCCCTCTGTTCCAAGCCGACCACATCCCAAGCCGAGAGAAGATTACCAGTCCGATTACACTCGACAACCATTCCCCTTATACCTTCTTCCCCCGAATACAACGTACGATCATTATAGCTGTATTTAGACTGAAAGATGCGCCAAATACAGCTATAATGACCACACGTTGTATTCGGGGGAAGAAGGTAGTACGAAGAAACCAATCCTATATCCAAGAACGACAGCAAATCACCGACTCTGTCTCTGATGAAATACGGAAAAAGACGTTCCCACCCTGACATGCGCCGCGACGGTCAAGTCCCCCCCCCCGACGACGGAACAACTCTCAACTCTCTGCAGGTCCACTCGAACGCATTCGTCATTTGTCGTGCCCTGACCCGACAGGGTGCCCTAATGAACATAACACTTCAGCGAAAAAGATTGTTATGCCAACGTACCTAACACAGTGGATATGCCTTCGTTATGCTGGCGTGCCCACACCACACTGGCGTATGTCACCACTGGCTCACCTATATAAACCAACAAATCTCTCTCGCCCTCAAAAATTCAAACTGAACGTCTCCCCGTTCACAACCTTCGTTATGCTTCCGAGACTGAAGGAACTTGCAATTTTCGGCTTCTCATCTTTTCCCAACTACACATGATTTAGCAGACATACCGCCCCACAATAACACTTAAGACGTATTCGTCTTCTTTTAATCACACATTAATCACGTAGATTAAGGACTTCCACACACTTCTACATGTGCACACAAGTTGAAAGACCCACTTCGTGAATTGGCATGGACTTACGGACGACTAAATGACACTTACCGCCTGCCAATGAGACGCTTGACATCGAAGATGGTACGGTCGGGGTTTGCAGCGGCCTGGTTCTTCGCCGCCTCTCCAATCAACCTCTCGCCGTCCGTGAAGGCCACCCAAGATGGCGTAATCCTATTCCCTTGGTCGTTCGCTATGATCTCCACGTGACCGTTCTTGTAGACACCCACACATGAGTAGGTGGTTCCCAGATCGATTCCAATAACCGTCCCCAGCTTAGGAGCCTCGTCAGCTACCACATAGGCACCTAACAAGCCTGCAAATCACGACGTAGTAAACAAACAATTAGCAGAGTTAAAAGTGCTACATTGCTCCACATTAACCAAACAGAGCGTTATTGCCATTCAGTTACTTTTCCCTCGTGCATATTTCCGGAGACGGCAATGCATGATTGATACCACCAACTTACCACCATGAACATACCACACCTGTCTCCTGTTAAGGTCCTGTCCCGTGCGCCAAACTTCCCTCGAACAGAACCACCTTTTCGCAAGCAGTCGTTTAAACGCCTGCCTCTCTCTCTCTCTCTCTCTCTCTCTCTCTCTCTCTCTCTCTCTCTCTCTCTCTCTCCACCAACAGGAAATCCTTCCATAGACTTCCCTTTTCCATTCATCGGAAGTGATCATCTTTCCTTTTCTAGTGCCATTCCCCCTACTCCAGACCTCCTACCTCTCCTCCCACACCACCTCTTTCACCCTCCTTTCTGATGCCCCTTCAACACCCTTCCCGGCGCTGCATTATTCACGATATTCTTGGCCCAACGATCTCTCTTCTCAATAGGCACGCCTCTTCCCAGACCCTTCCACCGTTCCCCCATTACTGCCTGAGAAGTCAGATAAGACAAACAGAAAACAACAAGCATGTATAGATGATCGAATGAGGATCCATACCTAAAACTAAGAAGAGGATCGCCCCGCGACCCGCCATGGCTCTTTCCGTCCAACCTCCTCCGCGAGTGGAAGTCCGTCAAAGAGCCGTCAGAATAACGGCGACACTCGAAGCCGGCGACAATTGATCGTCTCCACAGTATTGTTCTCAAGCTGAACAGCTCACCAGCTCGTTGATTGATCAGTGATTAGACAAGACAACTTAATAAACATCCGCCTCCAGAGATTTCAGATACGAGTGAGACCCAATCTCAACACGATAGTTTATGTACCACAACACGCTACCACATACACGCGCCCCTGCAACGGCCGACAAACAACAAGCTGCAAGGCGGCAGAGAACTCCCTGCAGATAGCCGCACAACGGCGGAAAGCGCACTGCCGATGGTCGCCGCACCGACTCGCCAGGTCCAGCCTCAACGCGCGACCACAACAAAATAAATTCATCGATGCCCAGTTTAAACGCAGCACTCCCCCACACTGAGGCACTGAGGGCTGAGCTCACAAGTGCGTACCAGGGGTCTCCTCCTACCGTTTAGCCGAGGGGCCGAGATTTTGGACTCGATCTTGCAGGTGCCACTACGACCGAGCCGTGATCAGTGAACGGCCGACCAATCGGTGCGAGCGCTGCACGTAAAGATCGCAAGCCATTGGCTGCCGACCCGTCACACACAATTCCAAGGCAAGCAAAAATACATCTCGGCCTCAAGAAACACAAGGGCACCTCCTGCACCCGTCCTACAACGAGAGCGACCGGTGCCGTCCCTGTTCCACGTGACGATTTACCAGTGCGGCAAGTCGTGTCGCGCAAAGAACACAACTCGTACTACACTTGCGGAATTGACTTTTCGCTACCGCGCCTGCCCGACGCGCCTTGGAGGAGGATTCCAGAACACGAGAGAACACACCACCCGACAAGCACCACCACCTCAAAAAATAACAAAAGAGAACGAGCTGACGAATCGGGTTCGTTAGAACACGCCGAGCAGACGAAGAAAAGAGCGCGGCCCGAGAAACATGGAAAACAAAGAGCGGAGGGCCGAGTCAGGATGTGCCTCGTGGCAGTTCGTGAGGTGCCTCTTCGGAGAGACTTCGAGAACAACAGAAGCACCGGTTGTGCGACGACCTGTGCGGCACCGATGGGGCCAACCGTGGGCGGCTTACCGGTGCGGCGACCCAAGTCCAGTCTTTCGTGGTCGGTTGGGGGGCTGCGGTCGTGGAAAGGGTGTTCGAATTTCAGGGCGAGGTTTGCAGGGGCTAAGGACTGGATTTGGAGAGCACAGGTCAAGTGGGAGTTACGGCTGATTCTGGCTGCTTGACTCTGAAAATTACACACCCCTCTGAACCACAGCACTCTCCTCCACTCCCTGACACCCCGCCCTCACCAACCCCCCCACTCCCCCCAGAGGAGACAACGACCCCTACTACCTCACACCCTCTCCGCTGCCTCACACACCACCCCTCCCCACTCCTTTGGCCCCCCCCTCCACCATCAACCTACGCCACTCCCACATCTCAACTCCAAAACATTCAGCTCCTCCGCACCCCCACCACCCCCAGCACCTCTGGTTGAGCCCCCTCCATAAAACCCTCCACCTTGTGACGAACTACTTCCGAACCGTGCTATCTTTCGTACCCTTTCTTTTGCTTGTATCATACCAACCCCCCTAAAAACCCCGTTTCGTTTCTTGATCTCGGGTGCCGCGTTTTTGGCCCCCATCTTCCGGAAACTTTTTGTGATTCTTCGGTTTTGCTTTCTTTCCTTTTTGCACATCGGGAAAGGCATAGGAAATCACACGCGCCTTAGCGAGCTCGCTGGGAATTGGGCCCGACAGTTGGGAATTCCGGGATAGGCGGAACTTCTACGTGTCCTTTTTGTGTGTGAATGTTCTCGGTCACGTTGGGGAAAACTCTCGGAATTTTGTGAGGATACGAATAGGTGTAGGACTTTCTTTTCCCGCATCACTCTTTCGCGCACGGGTATGGTGATTTCAATTTTGAATTGGTTTAGGACGTAGGCGAGCTAACTGTTTCGGTGCCTTTTTCTTTTGTTTTTTTGGTTGACGGCGCCACGCATGCAAAAACTTTCTCCTCTCTGTCTCCCGCCTCGCCCTCTCCCGCACTCCTTTTTCCTTCCCCCCCCCCTCCTCGTCCTCCTCTCTCCTCGTAACTGTTTTTCTCCCTCCCTTTCTCTCTCCCGCTAGGTTCTTTGCGCGCCCATTTCCCCTTTTTTGATCATCTGAATCTTTGACCCGTCTTGCGCTACTTCTCGCGCCTTTTCTTCTCTCCAAACAAAGCTCGTGAAGTTCGGTCGATCCTTCGATTACTCTTGCCCAACAATCAGACGCGGGGTATGGTAGGACCTGCCTATCGCGCGACGAGTCTGATTGGTTAATCTGGAGTTTTGAAGCATCAACATAGCTTCCGCGAAGCGCTCCTCGCAAAGTCTTCTCCTCCTTCTTCTCCTCTTACACTTCGACTTTCACCCTCCATTCTCCCTCCCTTGGCTCCCTCCTCGTTGCTATAAATTCTGCAAGCGCGCCCGCAAATCTCTCTTACGTTCTCGACTCTCAAGCCAGCTTCCGGGAAGCAGTGGCTAGCCAGAGTGTTTGGTGCGAGTCGGAACGTCCTGTCGGGCTGAACTGCGTCGAGTTTACGTCAGCGGGGTGACGATTGCAGTGGTGGGAGTTGGCACGCGACGACCGGGATCGTCGGTGTGGGTATGAGGATCGATGATTGGAGTCGAGTGAGTGATTAGCCTGGGGCCATGATTGGAATTAACGGCGAATGCGCCTTTGTTGATTGCGGATCTTTATCTCTGGTGTGAGTGTGCGGCGGCAACGCCGAATATCCTCTTTTTGGATTCCGTCCCCTTCTATCTCCCTTTCTCTCCTCTATCTCTGAATGATGAAGTGTCTTTCTCTCTCTCGCTCTCAAATGGAAATGAGTCTGCATGTTGTTCCTGCATGAAAAAACTTCTTCCGGAGCTCTTCCATTAGTTTCCTGGGTAGTCCCCTATGCAAGAACCCCGCCTTCTTGTCTTGTGAACGGTGGATGCGTGTGTATTATTCAGCGATCCATCTTTTATCTCTGTGCATATCTCATTTTCGCACCTTCCACAGTGAATGTATGTATGGAGGTATGTGTTCTTTTTTGGAGTTGATTAGACAATTGTTGTCGGGATTTTGTCCGAGAATGCAAGAGTGTTTAGATCTGTAGCTCTGTATGTACTGCGCATGCCATCTGCCTTATGTTGCACGACCTCAGCACCCGAGCCACAGGGCGGCCTCGAGAAACAAGGTGCCTCGGATCAACGTCGCGTTGGCTCACTAAACCCGAGCCGTGGATCGATCCGTTACTTACATGCATGATCAAGCTGATGAGTGTTTTTTTTCTCTCTCTCTCTCGTGTAGAAAAAGATTGATTGGGGGTTGCGTGAGTGTTCTCTTTTCTTGATGACGTCTCGAGGTTTTTGCAATTGATTGATATGTGGACTGACAAGTACCCTCCGATCGGGCGTCAGCCTTCCGTACCTCCCATATCAACACGACCTTTTCCTTACAACGAGAAAAGGACACGTGTATGTGAGTGAGACGTACGAGAAGCTGTCGCACAAATCGGTGGGCGATACTACTTCCCTCCGGCAAACCGTTGTTCAGGGTTCATGGAGGCTAGGTTCGTTATTATCGACACACACTTCCCACCCTACTCAATATTGCTCCCCTTTAACGAGCTGATCGTCATTCCGTGGACGACAGTGGCGCCCCATTGGCCTCGRACYYTGTGCACAGAGTGCCARCGTTTCGATCGCTACGAAGCAAAGGGCTTYCACTACCGAATACGGAGTGAGGACGAGCATAAGGAAAGAGCCACGCGTCTGCGACCCTCCACATCGGACTCAGAACTGACCAGCGAGCGACGACGGGATTTGATCCGAAAACGAGAYACGCGAAGCGTGCCGAAGCCCTTCCGCTCTAAACGACAGACTGTAGAGCGGTAGGAAACCCAACAATACTTTTTGGATTGAATTTGGATTTTTCTCTTTTCGCGCCATGCCCGCGCGCGCATTCCGCGACGCGCAAAAGCAACCGACTTAATTCATCCAACAGAAAAAAACTTGTGTTGACTTTCAGGTTCGCCTAACGTTGGAGTCGAACATCAACGTTTTAGAAACGTTGGTATAAATACGCACAATTGTAACTACTCCTAACAATCATCCAACGTTGCTGTGATTGTTAAAATATTGTTTTTCCGGTATCATGAACATTGGAGGAGTAAGGTGGAATGTTGGTACATTGTTGGTAATCTCAATAGATGTACTATGATTTGAAAGTCACTTGTAAGCTGAAACGAATCGAATTATCTCTGATTGGTGTGTTGACATGAAATATAACATTTTGCACGTCTACGAAGCACGATCGTGTCCAGACACAGACTACCAAGTTACTGTTGAAGAGGTGGTTGCGCTCTCAACTTGTTTGTGCGTCTCATGCTAGATAGTGTAACCACCTTTTAAACTTTTTTTTTTTCTTGTACTTCTCAAAACATGAATGAATTGCAGGCCTGCCCATTCTTTTTTTTCCGACTGCCCGCCCGTCCAAACGCCCGCCCGCCCGTCGGTCCGTTTTTTCCTGTTGGCGGCCCACCCCTTGAATCGCCCACCCGCATTGATTCCCCGTTTTTTAGGGGGTTCGCGACCCGCCCGTCCGTTCGCCCGCCCGCCCGCTGGCCCATTTTTCCTGTTGGCGGCCCACCCACACAGATATGGCCGCTTGGCCGTCGGACTGTTTTTCTGTTGGCAGCCAACACTTCCTATCGCCCGCCCGCCCGTCGGCCCGTTTTTTCTGCTGGCGGCAGACCCTTCCAATCGGCCGCCTGTCCGTCGACCCATTTTTGTTGTTGGCGGCCCACCCGTCAATTCGCCCGCCGGCCCGTCGGCCACGTTTTTCCTGTTAGCAGGTTCGAACGCCAATCGCCCACCTGCCCGCCCCCTCGTTTTTCCTGTATGCCTTCCTGGCCGTCCACCTGTTATTTTTTTTGGCCACCTGTTTTTTTTTTTTGCCGCCATGTTATTTAAAACTTATGCCCTCCTGGCCATCTGCCCGTGTATTTTTTTTTTTTTTTTTGCACACCCCTCCAATCGCGCGCCCTACGATGGGCCCCTTGTTTATGTTCGCAACCAACCCCTCCAATCGCCCGCCCCCATGCCGGCCTGTTTTTTTGTGTTCGCGGCGAGTCATCGGTGCACTATCTGCTGAAAAGCGCTCTCCGTCCATCCCTTCAAGAGGTGTCAGAATCAGGCCATAGGAGGAGCTCTTCATGCTTCCACAGCAAAGGAGGACAAGCGGATGTCATCGGCGTGGTTTCGCACGTGCGCCGGACCG